AATACGTATCGCTCGGGTTACCTATTTTCTGCTCGAATCCACTTTTTGCGGATTTTGTCCATTATTTTCCTATTTTTGTTATATATATATATATAGTATTTATAGTTAATTGCCTTAACTGTTAGGAGGAGATATCCTTTAATTTCTTTGTGTAGAAGGCAAAGTATTGCAAAAGTACACTCTTATAACTTAAACTCTCAAGCTTTCGAAGATCTATGTCTTCATCGTCTGGAGCTGGAAGCAATTATTGACAATAGCAACAAATAACAATTAGGAGAAAAATATTTACTTACTAAGTCGGCGAGACAGTGGCTGAAATTGTTTTTAAAACAACAGTGAAGGGAACACATAGTCGACGAATAAAGAACTGGACCGATGAGGTTCGATTAGGACGGAATTATTTTATTATTAAATGGCAAATCATTTTGAAAGGTTTTTTTATAACTAAGCGTTGATTGATTTTAGAAGAAATGTGTTCCCTTCACTGTTGTTTTAAAAACAATTTCAGCAACAATCTCGCCGACTTAGTAAGTAAATATTTTTCTCCTAATTGTTATTTGTTGCTATTGTCAATAATTGTTTCCAGCTCCAGACTATGAAGACATAGATCTTCGAAAGCTTGAGAGTTTAAGTTATAAGATTGTACTTTTGCAATACTTTGTCTTCTACACAAAGAAATTAAAGGATATCTTCTATATATATTATCAATACGAGTTCATAAAACTTCGTACTTTATTTATTAGATTTCGATCAATATAAACATAATAATTGTATCTTTGCACATTTGGTCTAAAAAACAAAGTGATCCTATATTCAAACGTAGTACAAATCTACTGTTAAAAAACTGAAAGTTTATATGTTGCCTATAGATGAGTATTTACTTTTCATAGTAGTTGACTAACTTAATCATCAGAACCTTGGGCCAGATATTTGTTGAGAAGAATCAAACGAAACTTGATTCGATGGGTTTGCGTCCACTTATGACAAAGTTCCCATGGCCACCTGCAGGCTTCACCATCAGATCTGCTCCATGTTATAATAGTAACGGATTGTCATACAAGTCTTCCGCCATTTTGTATTTAGGATGACGTCGATTTACTTATTGGATGCTTAGCTCTTCAAACGTTTTTGTTATAAGTCGCTATTTTGCGGTGGTCGCCGTATTGGATTTAGAATAACATAACTTTGTTTTTGTCGTCAAGCCTTTTCATTTAATACCCATATCATAGGGATGACTATGGAAATTATGAATCGTCATTTTGTGGCGCCAGCCTTATTGGATTTAGGATGTCGCCATTTTGCTTATTGTGTTTTCCTCATCAATTCCTTTCAGCCGGTTCCCATGTCATAAGGGTTACTATGGGAGTTATAGATCGCTATTTTGCGGCGGCGATCATATTGAATTCAAAAATTTTATTTGAAGGTCATTAATTATGATTGATTGTTCGACCACCTACTACTGTAATATAAACTCTTTCTAATTAAAAATTATTTTCTACTTTTCAGTTCGGTTAGCTATAAAAGAGTGTTTTTGTAGTTTTTTTTAAACTATTATTTATTTTTTAAAAGGGCCCTTCTAGTTATTTTTATAGATAAACCTGATATTCCGTAGAATCCAAATTTTTTAAAGATAGCGAAATTTCTCTAGCTCTTCTGGCTTCGAAAACCACCAATCAAAATTGCTTGTAAATCCAATAGGGTGTAAACACAATTAAGGTTGTCTGTAACATACCGGAAGTACATATATCTGCGATTATTCGTGGGACCTCATCCTACCATATTAACGCATGGTTGAGTGTCTGATTTGGCAGGTACTGTATTGTAAAATTTATTGGCTTCCTGGTTAATTGGATCCGATTTATCGAACCTTGAAAACAGATTCAGTGTGCATACAAGAATGTCACTGAGGTTAAACGATCCATCATACGAAAAAACTGACCACCAGGCAAGGTTAGGGACTAGGGGCATTTGAGTTGCTCTTAGAGCCATACTGGGCATACAGGGTTCTGACGGAGACACTACTGTTGGGTTGGAAAAATTTGGTACTCAAAGTGAAAAGTGCCTGGAAAATTTTGGGTAAGTTTTGAAAACATAGAAAAAAAAATCATCAAACGGTATTTTTACAAATATTTCCTTCCCACCTCTTTTACGCTAAAAATAACCATGTGATAAATTACGCTAAAGAAAAGTTTTTACGATTTATATATTCAGCCTTTTTGTCTCACGACGTACAAGCGCGGCAAATTTTACTATAGTACGAATATACGGTAAATAATCGCACGCTCGCTCAGTGATAGTTTCATCTGAAATGTTATACTATTACAAATTCTGAGGTGCTCTTTCCGATTGTTTATTGCTACCGTGTACAGGGTTTGTCCGGAAAATAATAGGACTGAGTCGATTTAAAAAAAATTATTGAGCCAATCGTTACAATTCTTTAAAAACTTTCAAAATAGGCTCCTTCTGCGTCGATGCAGCGCTTCCAGCGCGATTTCCAAGCTGATCACAAGAAAGGCGGTGTGGTGCAACTTCCAGTCGGCTGCGATGTCTTGTCGGACCCGACTGACCCTGCGTTTGAGTCTCTTGAGCACTTCCACGTAAAACTTGGCGTTGACGGTTTGTCCAGGAGGAACAAATTCATGGTGGACGATGTCAAAAAAGACAATGAGCATCGTTTTCACTTTGGATTTGCTCATTCTTCCCTTTTTTGGGCGAGGAGACGCCGTCGTGTGCCACTCGGAAGATTGCCTCTTTGTCTCGGGATCATACTCAAATGCCTATCCTGACTCTCCAAGTGCTCGGAGATAACTGACCAGCCGCTCATTCATTAGCTAGGAACGCCCTCTACCGAATCCAGTCGCACGCTCCAAAGTACAGTCATGGTGGAAGAAAATGAGTCCTATTACTTTCCGGACAAACCCTGTATGTTTAATGTTAGCACCACTATATTGGAAAAATGGCGCCCAAGAGTGTCTTAGATTTAGCATCCGTTAGCCGAAACCATCCAACTCCGAAAAGTGGATTAAATCTTGGCATTAGCAAATTTCCTCTTGTTTGATTTGACATTGAATTATTCTTAGGAATAAATGAAAACAACCATACATATACTCAGTGACATTAAAAGTGTTACACCCGAAAAAAATAGTTTATTCAACTTGATTTATTGGCAATGGGGTAGTCTTACATCAAGAATGAAACGATTTTATTGACAAGTAATAAGAAAAAAAATAATAATGTGTTGGGTGACCCCGCAGCTAAATACACTCCTGTATACGTCTAGGCATCGACAAAATGAGATGATCGATATCTGGTTGTGGCACCTCAATCCAAGCAACTCGGATTAGGTGTGGCAAAGTCAGTGGTGGATGGTGCAAAGTGGGTATAGTCTCCTCCTCATCATATCCCACACATGTTCGATAGGATTTAAGTCTGGTGAACAGGGTGGCCACGGCAAAACATTAACGCCTGCTTCTTGAAGAAAGTCCGTAGTACGACTCTGATGTCTTGCTGAGAAGAGACGTGTGGACGTCTCTCTAGATATGGCAGTAAAGTGGTTTGTAGAACATCAACATAACGCGCAGCAACCATATTGCCTTGAACAAAGAGAAGTGGTGACGGGCTGCCATAAGCAATGGACCCCAAAACTATTACTCCAGCAAATCCAATACCGCGCCGTTCTCCACGGCGGCGTCTTACCCTTCTACGACCATCGCGCGTACCTAGACAGAATCGCGATTCGTCGCTGAAGATGACATTATGCCATTCCGCCTCCCAATGTTGCCGATCTCTGCTCCAGTTCATACGTTGACGACAGTGGTCATCAACACGCCAAAGTCGCTAACATTTGGACGCTTTCTAACTCGAGACATTTTGTTATGGTTAACACTAGTAAGTGAAAAGGCAATAACTAAAAATGTCTGGTACTACTCAGCCCTCAGAAACTGATTTATTCACAAAAACTAAGAGATAACATTTTAACAAAGGTAAATTGCCACAGCCTGATTCGAATATAGTCATTATGTTGCCAAAAAACAAGTTGTAGAAATTATTTTTTCTGTCACTGAATATATTATGGTCAAACCATCTTCAAAACGTTCCACTTATGAAACTACCAAACCACTAAATAAACAGACTTTGCCGTACATGAGTACTAAAATGAACTTTTCCGAGGTGTAGACTGTGGAAAAATCTCTAGTTTAAGTTTCCACATAGCAGTTTTACCGTACCTTGATCCAGAACAAAGAATCTGTAACAAACAGTTTTTGGACGCGATTTTTCCAATATGATTGCGAGAGTGGAAAAAATACGAGCGAAGTGGAATTCTAAAAGATCGCGTCTAAATACATGTTGTTCGGGATGTGATTCCTCAATCTTATGAAGAAAAGCATATGTGAACATGTTATGTCCGCAATGGCCTGTATTTTCAGCAATATGCTGTTGAATTTTTATTACTATACCCTCAAAATATTTTAAATATATTTATTTTTGGCATATTATGTGAGGATATAAAGTGACATAGTTTAGTGTTAAAAGTTATTCTTTTGCGGCACCAGTGGTATTCATGTAAATATGTCTTGTGGTATTTTTTACAAAAAAAAATGTTATGCAACTGATCAAGACACTGATCGGATATTCTGACGTTTGTTCAAAAATCTGAAGATTTCAATTTAACGATGTTTTCATTTTGGCCCCAGTGTAAATCGCGATAACTCGAGAAAATGTGCTAGAACAGAGATTTTTGGATACAATCCACCTGGAGTGTCGGCTCGTTTATCTCGACTTCCTGTATTGAACAAGTTTTTCTTGAATCTCAAAAGAGCAACAATGTTTTGGTTTTCTCCCATACTTTTAAGTTAATTATATATTATTATGCTGCTACAAAGTAATATGTTTATTTGAAGAGCATTTTATCTTTTACGATCCATCAGCATCACTATAACAAAATTACTCTTTTTCTATATGCGAGATATGACAGCATACATCACTTCTTCAATAATAATTTTGATAAATTCTGACCTTAGTCGACTGTTTAGAGAGAATCTTAAATAAAGCAGTTCCGCTAGTAGATGATAATAAGTTGTAATCCCACTGTAATTTTTTAGTGCTAGCCTAGAAAAACCTTGACACATGGTATGTGGTAATGTAGAGACAAGTGAATAATATGCCTGCAAGTATAAAATTGTGGAATGGATTAATCCGAAAATACGAGCGTTATGCCGCTGTAATATTTCATACGAGTTTGGAACTTATCCTGTGATTGTCTCTTCATATTATACTCGCCGTCGAAAATTTTCAAACGTTCCGGCCACCTCTTCAATATTTTTGTGGTAGGTACAATGGAAAATGTGCAAGATCATAGTATAATTGACATGTAAAATGTTATCTCTTGTTGGATAGGGCAATTCTGAAGACCTCAATTCTTAGATTGATAACAGTTATATCACGTTTTTGCTTTTTTGCGCGGGTGGGATTGAATCGGACAAAAAGTGATGTCAATTGTATGGACTCTGTAATTCAAATAAATACATCTAATTAGGAGTTATACGTAGGTACCTACACCTTAGGTATACGAATTTTGAACTAGATACTTTAAAATGCACTGTTGTGGCTGCGTCGCCAAAATTGGTATTTTTGATAACCCTTGATACCTACCTAAATTATAATCTTTTTATTTTGAAATAGAAAGGAGAAAATATCATATTCATTGTTTTCGAAGTTGCGCGCTTAATGTATATGAGGGGCTAAAGAGTGGATCCCCAGGCCTCTATAAAGGATTATTAAAAGAGGACCTGGAATTCAAATTGAGAATAATAGCAAATGCTTCAAAGTGCTGCCAGAAATTTAACAACTGTTGAAATCGCCTATATGTGCTAAATCTAAGCGGTGCCGCGCTTGTCGGGGATGGGTATTTTTTCCCGGATGTGAACCTGCTAACTAGAAACCTGTCTCAAAGCTCCTGAAGTAACAATCGTTGATCCATCCCAGTATTCATTTAGACATCTACTGGTAAGCTAAAGAACTAATGGTCCTTTAACCAACAACTCTGTAAAGAAACCCTGAGCTTAAACTGTTCCAGCACAGATGACGCTTCTATTACTGTGCTGTCACTGTCAATCGTCCGTTCTGAGTCCTGTCATTTTGACAAGTGTTGTGGACAAGCTTTCCTTTTCCTAAATGTGTTTTTATTTTAGTTTTTGAGTGGTTTTTCATTTTGGATGAATAAGTGATATTTGATTAATGCTGAATAAGAAGACGCTTTAAGCAATTTCAGATTTTTGCTAGTTTCAAGGAAGGTAGTGGGCCAATACCCCCTTCAAAATGATGAACCCTCAACTGCAAAACATTATTCAAAGTACAGCTGGAGCAGTACCAGTACGAAATGAAAAAGGTAAGCAATTAACTTCCAATAAGTCTAGTCAGTAGCTTTCTACTCTTAACCCTCACACCCTAACAACAAAAAATGTTATCATTTCATGTATTTTGTTTTTTCAAAGTACCTAAACTTTGTTTCATTTCAGGTGAACTGTCTATGCAAAAGGTGAAGGTACATCGTTACGTATCAGGGAAAAAACCAGAATATGCCCAAGATGCTCAATCAGAATCAGAAGAAGATGAGGATGACTTTCTGGAGCGCAGGAATCACATTCCTACAATTCCTTCCCCAGAACCCATTAGAAGTGATGAAGAAATAAATGACCCTCGTCTTAGAAGGCTGAAAGAGATTGAAACAGAAGTTAGGCCTGAGAGAAGGAGACATGTTCTTGAACCTGAAGTGCTTGAATCTTCAGAAGATGAAGCAGTGTCTGATGCTGATACTAGCATGCCAGGTAGATTTTGTCTCATTTTTATATTTTTTACAACAATATTCAGTATTTATCAGTTTTGTCCCTCTGTATAAAAATATATGAAATAACTTTTTTATATTTTAGAACACAAGCACATGCTTGAAGCAGGCCCAGATGACGATGAGTCTGAAGCAGAGCTTAGCGATAGTGAGATTGAAAGAAAAAGGGAGATGTTAAAGAAAAAAATTCTCACTAAGAAAGAAGATGAATTCATGTTAAAAGAAGAGGAAAAAGAGGACTCGGTGTCAGAAGAATCATCTGAATATGAAGAATATACTGATTCAGAAGAGGAAGCTGGTATGTCAATATTTTCAATATTTACTCATATTGTCACAACCAACTGCATATTTAAACTTTGAATAGTCCTTTTTCATCAATTTTGAAATGGTACAATTTTTTTATAGGTCCAAGACTGAAACCTGTGTTTGTAAGGAAAAAGGATAGAATTACTATAGTTGAGAAGGAAAGAGAGGCACAAAAACAGAGAAAATTAGAGGAAGAAGCACAAAGGGCAGCAGAAGAAAGAAGAAGGCAGACATTACGATTAGTTGAAGAAACAATAAAAAAAGTAACATCTTTCAATATTCCCCTTGTAGCCATCTTAGAATCTGATTTTATCTTGTATCTAAGCAATCTTATAAATTAGCCAACAAAATTGAACAATACTTTTCAGGAACAACAAGCGAAGGACAAGGAAACCAATGAACCAAACATAAATGATGTTTGCACTGATGATGAAAATGATGAAGTTGAATATGAGGCATGGAAGTTACGTGAACTAAAACGTATAAAAAGAGATAGGGAAGAAAGAGAAGCATTAGAGAGGGAGAAGATGGAAATTGAGAGATTAAGAAACATGACAGAAGAAGAAAGAAGATTACAACAAAGGTTTGTGGAGTCATTATTCTCAGGATATATTTTCCTTCAAGATTTTACTCAGACTATCTTTTTGGATTCATCATTTGAATATCATGTTTGTTCTAGGTTGAATCCCAAACAAGTAACTAACAAAGCAGCAAAAGGCAAGTACAAATTCCTCCAGAAATACTACCATAGAGGAGCATTCTATCTGGATAGAGAAGATGACGTCTATAAAAGAGACTTTGCTCAGCCTACACTTGAGGATCACTTTGACAAGACCATTTTGCCAAAGGTGATGCAGGTGAAGCACTTTGGCAGATCAGGAAGGACCAAGTACACACATTTGGTGGATCAAGATACAACCCAGTTTGACTCACCATGGTCTACTGAGACTGCTCAGAATCAAAAGTTCCATTCTCTGCAGGCAGGTGGAGTGAAACCCCTGTTTGAAAAGCCCTCATTGAAGAAAAGGAAGAATTGAGGGAGGAACTTCATAATATATTAATTGAAAATATTCATTCATAATTATTATAATCTAACAATCTTGTAAATATGCAGAGTATCATGTATGCCTCATTTTATGAGCTAACAATAAAATGAGATCGAAAATTGAATTGTGTATATACTAAGTACTATAAATAAAACATGTGTTGGAATTTCATCAAATTAATTTGATCACATGTCTTTTAGAGCCACATTTATAAATGATCTTTGCAGATTGAGTGCCATGAATGATCCATTCTTGGGTTTTAAATGGACAATAACACATCCTTCAGGAACATCCAAGGAAAGATTTAACAACATTTGAATTTCACAGTTGTCGTCACAGGCTGGCCTTGATGTCATAAAGTTTTTTTTGCCGAGTGAATGTAGCATTTTGGTGATAAATTTTGAACGATTTGGTTTTTGTGCTAAATGTTTCTCAGCAACGTAATAGTATTGAAAAGCATTTGCCCTCTGGTTTTTATGGTAGACAGTGGAGTAATCTAAATATAGGCAACCAGCATTGCAATAATCTGAAATGTACGTTTGACAGTTGAAAATTATTTTATCTTCCAATTTGTAAATTAATCAACGCTGTTCCATTATTTTTTTCTCTTGGCGATTTTTTTAAATTCATTATTTTGAAAAAACGTCATTCAATTTACAGATTGTTCGCAAAATATCTAAAAATTTCAAGCTGTAATTGACGTACTGTCAAACGTACTATAAGCATTGCAGATTATGAATCAAATTCAAGCGGATAACCAAATGAAAATGGTATTTACCATTTTGGGTTGGTATCCGTTCAAGCGAGTGTGGTCATCAGCTTGGTTATAAGATCCGTGACGTCACGAATCAGCTGTTATATGTCATAGTTATCACCGCAAAATTGTGGTATTTACCCAACTCGGGAGTAGTTTTATATTTCTGGTTATTATTTGAAATGTGACAAGTTGGAATTTTGCCGGGTATTGGATATTGTTATTGCACTTCAGCTTCATTTTTGGGGAACTTGATACAGGCTGACTTCAGTTTTACCATAAAGTGGAGCACCTTATTAGTTATACTCATTACTGTTGTTGGGGACACTTTAAAAATAGTTCCTAAGCTTAACAAAGTATCCTGTGTAGCCATATACCACAAGAATATTAAAATATGGCGATATAAACTCACTAGATGATGTCCACCTGTATACGGTTTTGCTAATTTATTTTTTCATCATTGCTGCTGAATCAATAAATGTTTTCATTGACATGCGGAAAACTTTAGAGAATTGAAAGTTATCATAGCTACAAAGCCATGGTTCCATCATTAAAAAAAAAATCTGAAAAAACATTTCTCCCATGAATATTATGAAAGGTTACTTATTTAAACTTTCCATAAACAGTTGTAGACGAAAAAGCACCGATTATTAAGTGATAATAAAAGTAAGCAGAGATTATATACACGTTTTTCTAAAATAAACAACTTGCAACAAAACCGCGGTTAAAACCAACGCGTTCAAGCGATTTGTGTAACTGACGTCATCAACCCGTGTGTCATCTTGAACCATATTATAACTGCGGCACATAACACAGACATTTTGGTTATTCGCTTGGATTTGATTATTGTCTAGTCTAGTGGACCAATACCCCCTTCAAAATGATGAACCTTCAACTGCAAAACATTATTCAAAGTACAGCAGGAGCAGTACCAGTACGAAATAAACACCCTGTATGGACATGACTGGAAAACAATGTTATATTTATTTTTTTTGTCAAAAAATTCATTGTGAATTTTTCTTCAATCGTAACTTGTTAACAAATAGTACAGCTCTGAAATTGTATGTGAATATTCCACTTTTTATGGAAGAATAGAGCGGGTTAGTGCTTGTTTTCTTATCATTTTCTCTCCTCAAATCTTCGCTTTTCTTGAAAACCCTCACTTGCTTGAAGCCAGCGCTGAAGATTTGTACCAAAGAACATGGTTATAAAAATAAAAGTCTGGCAGTTTACAAAAGAATTATTTAATAGAATAGGTTCTGATAACAAAAAGTCCATTGCTAAAAATAATCACATTATTGCTTACACATAAATAATGTATCTTAAATAATAACAATACTTTTGCATTATCATAGATCACTATTTATGAGCACAGTAATATTGAGATGGGGAAACATAGTGCTAAATATACAGAATGTCCAGAAAAGATAACTTTTATTACTGCAGTTGCAAATAGAAGTGGTTTATTGCTTAATGATTTTTTATTGTTCAACAAACTAACATTTTAGAATTTCCAAATTTGAATTATAATTGGCTGCCAAAAACAAATGGAATGCTAGAAATATATTCCAATATAAAATCTCAATTATTACTGTTCACCCTGTATATATCTAAAGTCTTATCTGGTACAGAAAGCTGATTTCTTAATACTCAATACCATCGCCTAAAATAAAAGTTAACGTTACCTCATAGAATACCTATATGTGCTTATGCTATCCTACGTTTTTCCTACCGATTAAGAAAAACATAGTATTTTCAACAGTAGAGCAGCGCTAAGCAGCGATTTTTTTTGTTTTGATTTTAGTTATTTTCTAACTTTTATGGATTTAACAATGAATATTGAAAGATTCACAAGCTATTCTCAATTTTTCAATGATTTCTAGTGAACAATGAAGCCGATATATTGTAGATTAAAGAAGCCTACCGTGAAAAGAAGCATATACTTATAGCCACCCAAAATCTATTCAAACCTCATTTACACCGCGTCAAAGCAGACACTAGCACTGGACCGACGATTATATTCGCTTGTCACTACGCGCTCGGGCATTTATAGCCGTTGGCCAATTAGTAGTTCAATAATCTGGAGATTGCGCACTAGTGTTTCTTTTGAAATGGTACTTGAATAGAGTGTAGAGATACTACACTAACTTTATTCTAAGCTTAAGTACGTAAAAGCGTCGTAATAAGCCACAGATTAATGCTTCTTAGGTATGAATGTCAGCTCAGTGTGAGTCTGTGCGAAAAGTAGCAGAAGTTGAGAGTCAAAACCGACGTTCTCGACCCTGACTACGTAGGATTGGGACGATTTCGGTTCTTTCCTAACGATCGCCAAGCCAGAGACCCTCATGAGATAGTCGTCGTTCTCTGTCGTTTTGCCTCCTGTGCGTGCTAGACGGATATGGCAAATAACGTCAATATGTATGTATTTCTGAATGGCGAAACCTTTCGGTGTCTCAATCTGAAACAAAATAATGGTTCAGTATAATCATTGATTAACCTGAAGATGGCAAATCAAATTCAATATTTGCGCGTCCAAAACTTATCAGAGATAAAATGAAATACCGTAGCGTCATCAATTAACCGCATTATAACTAACAGCGTAGAATTAATAGAAATAATCAAACAGTCAAATGTGTAAAAGCGATAGGATGATATGCTCGTGTACAATGCAAAAGTTTATAACTGGTCTTTTGACCAGTATGCTTACGCCAAGAAAAGCCGAAGGTTTCGAAAAATCATTACTGAGGCAGTTTATTATGTGGTGTTGGAACGCTACTGTTTTTTTAGCGTTTAAAACTTATTCATTCATTAGTTTTCGTCAAAGATTCACTTCCTAATTGTCGATGGAATCAGCTTAATCTATTTAAGCTTATTCTAAAATTTTGAAATTTGACTTTATTGTGTGGTATAATTTTGGAAATGTTTCACGGGTATTTAACGAGTATATGAATGTGTGACAGTTTTTTTTTTATTTCAAACAGAGAGCCAGTAGGTATTGCAATGTTTTTGTCACCTGAACATGCGGTACACACGTCAGAAAAGAATGACTCTTTTAAAAATTACCGACCTCAGTAAGGCTTTCCATCGAGTTAATCATAATTTACTATTAATAAAACTTGCTGAGGTTGTGTTCGTAGAGCTCTCTTGTAAAGTGGGTTTCATCTTATTTGTGCGATAGAAATTTCTTAGCTTGTATAAACGGTATAAATCCAGAGCCGTTACTCCATCATCGATAGTTCCTCAGAGTAGCCACCTAGGACCATTATTCTTCTCAATTTATATAAATGATGACTTAAAGATGTATCGTAAAGTTGAAAGGCTTCAACACTGCGTCAAAATATACTCTAATATTATTGTCGGAGAAATGGCCCGCCATTTAACAGTAAAAAATGCTTTTCAATCACATTCACGAAAAAATAAAGTTATTCCAGTATGTTTGTCAGATAGAGAATGTCACTATCAATTCTATGAGCAATATTCGGGACCTGGGTGTTACACTAGCTACGAAATACAGCTTTTATAGCCATATAGATGAACCCATAAATAAAACGAATAAGATGCTTTGCTTTATTAGAAGAAACTCTGAATACTTCAACGACCCTGGTACCCTGTTATCACTATATTATGCGTTTATTCATAGTAATTTCTCTTTTGCGTCTATTATTCGGAACACACAGTATGAAGTCCGCATCCGAGAGTATAGCTTTGTGATAGAACATTTTAGGCTCCTACCTCTAAGGAAGGGTATTATCGGACTTATGTATTCTCCACAGAATCTTTAATAATCAAATTGACTGTTTTTACCTCTCATCGAAAATCAATATAAATGTACCGAACTATGGTGAATTTGTTGATATTTTTGCTTCTTAAATTGTTGAATTTTAAATGCTCGATAAAAAACAAAATGTTGGTCACTCCCTAGTAAGCTAAGTTCCTACTCTCTGTTTTACTTCTTTTATTTACTTAATTGAATGTTATATCATTGTATTTTCATATATGTAGATTATAAATACGTAAAGATGCTTACAACTTAGTATGTTTAACTATATCGTGGATGTCTATTTTGGAGATTTTTTCTGTACGATGCCCCTAAATAAATACATACCCTTTCCATCCTCTCTTCGATCTGCGGCTTATCATCCCTGAAGACCGTCGCCTCCCCTAGGACAGTCTCCCCGGCACAAAAGTCGAACTTCATGCCTTTCCTGACAGCGCTGGGTTCCAAACCCAGGCCATCAGGGTGGCTGTCGCTCCACAGGTGGTTGTCGGGGTTCAGCAGACTGTCAGGCTCGAAAGTGAGCCTCTTGGCGTATCCGCAGCCGATCGAGAGCAGTCGTAGGGCTCTGCCCCCGAAGAGACGTTCGCGGCGGTCATTGGGCCGGACGCGGTAGTAGAAACCTGGAAGGATGCGCGGGTCTACGTAGGTACCTAAAAAATAAATGATCCAGTTATAGTACAAGCCATTAAATAACAAAGTTACGTCATCATTTTAGTCTGTAGTAAAGACATACAACTGCGATTTGTGAATATATTTAATGAAGTTTCTGATATGTTAGACAGAGACAAACAGAATTTTATTGTCTAAACAAACTGTATTGCTAATTTGCATGTATCCGACAAAGATAGATGTTTTCATGTTGCATGATGGATCATATTTGAAAGATGAATATAGTCGAAATCACGAAAGATGACGATTACATCATCATTTTAGTCTGTAGTAAAGACATACGACAGCGATTTGTGAATATATTTAATGAAGTTTCTGATATGTTAGACAGAGACAAACAGAATTTTAATGTCTAAACAAACTGTATTGCTAATTTGCACGTATCTGACAAAGATAGACGATGTTTTCATGTTGCATGATCGATCATATTTGAAAGATAGGTTATGTTAAAGCAGGTTATGTTGTTTTCGAGTAATACTTTGATCTTTGGTGTTCCTGTCTAAAGGTATTCTACTCATAACTGTTTTTTTCAAAACAAAAACTCCCCACTAAAATTATCACTAAGGTATCACTCAAAACCATGAAATAAAATGAAAATAAAAATAATCAGTGAAATAACCTAACTTCGCAAAATCATAATATAAATTTGTTGTCATTATGTTTCTGACTCGTGATTTTATCATCGACGTACGTCCATTGATTACTTCAGTACAGTTTATGGTATAACGTAACAGTCATCAGTCATCTTTCGTGATTTTGACTATAGTTAGGTTACGTTAAAGCAGGTTATGTTGTTTTCGAATAATACTTTGGTCTTTGGTGTTCGTGTCTTAAGGTATTCTACTCATAACTGTTATTTCAAAACAAAATTTCCCCAGTAAAATTATTATTAAGGATCACTCAAAAGCATGAAATAAAATAAAAATAAAAATAATCAGCGAAATAACCTAACTTCGCAAAATCATAATATAAATTTGTTGTCATTATGTTTCTGACTCGCGATTTTATCATCGACGTACGTCCATTGATTACTTCAGTACAATTTAAGGTATGACGTAATAGTCATCTTCCGTGATTTTGACTATATAGTATCTTCGCATCTGCTGAAAAATAGTCTGGTTCGGATTTTTTGCATAATCTAATTAGAAAACGATAAACGATTCTGCATGTTTCCAGGCCCAAAATTTCGTCAAAAATTGTTTAAACATTTTTTAAGCGAGTTCCAAAAAGTGGTATTTTACTCCGGTCGCAGTGCTTTAGTTTTTTTTATAACATTCTGAATTAAAAAGGTGCTTCAAGATTTCTATGAAGCTGGACGGTTTTGGAGATATAAGCGATATTTTAAGGTAAAAGTGGCAGTAGCAGAATATTTAAAAATGGCGGCTGGGCTTGTCTGACCCATCAAAACCGCATATGTTTAAAATTCCTTCATTGAAAGATGTTTTAGTCCCTGACCGAAATGTCGTACCATAAAGAGGAATTTTAAACATATGTGCTTTGATTCAGCCAGGCAAACACGAAAACTACAGGATAAGTTTCATATGTTACATTATTGAAATTTTCGTTTTTTCATGTTTTTTTAGAGGTCGAGAATCGGATTCTTCGCACTTTTAGACATATTAAATCGCTTAAATTTCGAAATCTATCGACTTCAGAGAAAGGTTCTAAGGCAGCCCTTTTGTTCAGAATGTCCTAAAAGCAGAATAAAAACATTTTTTAAATTCATTTAAAAAATGAATAAATTACATCATCTTCGAAAATGATTGTGAAGAATTACAGCTCAGCTAGTAAAATGCATTAAAAGTATACGGCGTCCTCATAAAAATTGATCTTGAAATCTCGATTACAATTTCTGAAAGTATATTACATAACGTAGAGATCAAGTGATAATGACAATTTTCACCAGTGCTTGAAGCTGATAAATAACTAAATAACTGGTTATTATTCTAGCATCCAGGAATATTGAATTTCTGCAATAAATATTTCATCTAAATTAGTCAGATCTAGTAACATCAGTATTTTTTATTATGGGATGATGTGTTATGCTAATATGAAAGTTACAAGAAGGAAATTCGTGATAGTTATTTTCTATCATATCATGATTAGAACTTGTTTTATAATCGTTAAGAATTTTCACGTGACAACACTGGAAATTTAGATAAGATCTGTAACCTTCCAAACCATTTTGCAATATGAATTAACATTAAATAAATAAAAAAAATGTTTCCTATAATACTGAGAACTAGATTCAAGCAGAAATCTACTGTCTCAATGATAAGATTTAAGATTCCACAGATAATAATTTCTTTATACTAAAGATACTGGTAAACAAGATGTAGTAAAGTCTGGTTGACATATTCGTCTAGTGTCTGTCCAAATTTCATTAGGAGCCCTCCCTCACTTCCTGGCAACGTCCCCGGATTGTCGCTTCTATTCGCTTGTCGCTGCCTGCCCAGGCATTTAAGACTCGCCAACGGAATTGCGCAAATCAGAATAACTTTGCGGTGGTGTTTACCTTGACATGGCGCAAATGAAATTTGAATACACCATATCCATATAGCGAACTGTTCTTTATTTTAGATAAATTTATTTTCATTTCGACTAAATATAAATATTTTGCCTTCCGAATATTTCTGTCTTGAAGGAAACACGCCAGTTTTAGAAACTGGTTCTGTGAAACGATCATTTTTTAGAACCAGACGTTGAAATCATCTAAAAATAAGGATTAAGTGTTACTCACCTACGACGGGTAGTTCACATGGTTCCAATCCAGTCATGGTGTACTTAGTGGGCACATCATTGATTTCAGTTCCTCTAACAGTGACCCTTCTGTGTCTCTTTTGCATACCAGGCAGTAGGTGGTATCTCTTCTTTTTGATGTAAACATTGGTCACTTTGACCACTCCAGCCTGGGCTTGCCCTTTGGCCTTGAAAGCAACTGCTGTGCCGCTGACGGGCAACAGTTTGCCCACCCCGGTCTCATAGTATTCAACCTTACCTGTGAATTTGACCGAGGCTCTTTTTTCTACGCCATTTTTAGTAATAGAGCTAGAAATTTCTAATTGAGGGCCCTGAAAGAGTGAGTATCATAAGCAGGGGGATCTCTCACTTGGAAATAATGGCTACAACTGTAAACTTACGACGCCCAGATCCTGGAGATTGTTTTAGGTAATGTCGGGGTTCCCAGTTCCTGGCTCTAGTCGTGTCTGATAAAAACATCGGGTTGCCAAGGTAATGATAATGTTTAAGGGTATTCGTTTAGGGATGCGTCTACACCGACAGCTAAGGTAACTTCAGCCGAATCGTACTCCAACAACGCAGTGTGTTTTTTGATGAAATGATATGATAGCAAACTGAACAATGGCAGATATATTAAGGTAGCTTAGCATTCACTGTATATAACTATAACGTTAAAGGTGGCCTTTAGGTATACAAACAAGATAACTATCTAATACTCTTTAGCGAAAAGGTCTACTTCTGTCGAGACGAAACAAGCTTTAAACTTTCTTACATATTGATGAAGGATCATTCAACGCTAGAATGAAACAACTTTTGAAATATACCCAATAATGATGGTAGAGCTGCTTTCTTTAGAAGCATAAAAAATAAAATGAATCTGCAGTGTCGGATTATCTTTATTATCAAACAAAACGAGCATCCATGGCATCCTTCTTGAAAAACTGAATATCAAAAATGCTTCTTTATTTCGATAATAAAGATAACTGGATAAAGTTGTTTTTATATTTTTTTTTAACGAGTACCTCTGAATCAATTACCCACTACCAAAAAATCATAAGATTGCCAAATTGTACTATAAAAAGCAACCATTCATATCTTTTAGTTTATTTTGGTATAATTATAAAATTTGGAGCAGCACATTGTATTATTTTATTACATTATGTACTTTTATTCCAAACTATCGATGTCGAATGTTAATTCATTATTGAATAATTCAAACGTTCAAATATAATTCACGTTTTTCCCACTCAATGGTCATTTTAAAAAAAAATTGTTCATTGTAGTTTTTTAGTCATGGACCCAGCTGTAATATTTACCAAATCAAATGGTTGATAATCCTTATTAATGTTTACGATTGGAAGCACTTTTGGAATGTTAAAGTGCAGTGGCGATTTTTTTCATCTTATATCATTACGTTTATCTTAATTTACTAATATGGGACTTTACATTCATTAAAATAATCCCCATATATAAACTATTTTTATAATAAGTATACGTCAAAATGATTCTAAAGGCCACCTTTCCGATGATATCCCATTTGAAGTTATGTCAAGCTGAAACATGCTCATAGCTGAAAAAAATTTCCCAGTTTAAGCTTTTTTAATAGTAAAAGTAACTTCACCTGTTCAATAGTACAACAAATAATTAGTTATTTAATATATTCAATACTAAATCAGCCATTATAGGTTGTTCACAAAAATGGTGGAAATAAATATTTTTAACAAAAATTGAATAATTTAGAATATCTCTAGAAAGGGAATCTACTGACAAAGTTTTGGCAAAAAATTGGGGACTGTTAATTGATACACTACGACAAAATTATCACGTTAGTGTTATAGTAGGTTGTCTCCAAGAACTGAGCACAATTTAGTCAGTTCTATATTATTACTCTAATCAAATTCAATCCAAAATACGTTTTGAATTACTGGACACAACTAAAGGCTAAAGAAAATGAAAATGAACAAAACAAAAATATAAAACGTTGGATACTTCCATATTTCTATATCCCCCTTTGTCTTTCTGGATCAAAATTAAACTTAATGTATTTACCCCTTTGTAACTATTTGGAACTTAAATACAAAAACTTAATATATAACTTATCAACTAATTTAAGTTATATTCACCAATAGTTTTTCAATTAAATATGGAATATAAGTATGCTACCGCTTTATAACATCTAATATTCGATATCTTGCGAGTGGTTAGCTACAGTCAAATTTTTCTAGAATGTTTATAGTTTTACGAACTGAATCGTGGTAAATGTCAACGTCGTAACGATATTTACTGCGCGCAGAGGTAAATATAACTTATAATAGCAACAAAAGGGTTTATAACATAGTAACAAAACAATGCAATACACAAACAAAAGACAGTAAAGCATCAACTACCGAATATATCCACAAAACTTAATAAAGAGAAAAGAGATCAGGTAAGTTACCTCAACTTCGCAAACGGAAAGATGAGACATCTAGACATCCCTAACTTTCAACACAATGTACTAAAATACATCCAAGTACCTACCTCTAGCTTGATGATCTCCACGGTACCATACGGTTCGTTGTTGGTATCAAAGAACGTAAATTTATCTCCTTCTGAAACGAGTTCCAGCTCGAATGCGTACCCTTCAGGTCTGTTGTCGCTCCAGAAATGATCGTTTTCGAAAGTGAATCGTCTAGCATAGCCTCTACCAATCGACTTCAAAACCTGAGCCTTCTCGTTGAATAGGCATTTGTGGGAGTCTGAGGGTTTTCCAACCTCAGGCAATGGTCTTACACGGTATTTGAACCCTGGCACAACTCTCTTGTCGCAATATACCCCCACTACAGGCATTTGGTGTGGCTCCAGGTGACAGACGGTATACTGGGCGGGCATGTCTCCCAAAGAAGAGGCATCCAGTTTTAATGGACCTTTCTCTGGGGTTGATATGTGGAGTATAGGCTTTGGACTTGCCAAGGGCTCCTATAAAGGTGAAAAGAAAACACACACTTTGTAAATAGCCTAATTTGATTTGGTGTCGTTCAAAGAAATATACGACCACTAAACATGGAATTGATGTTATGCTAATATAGTCGGAATCACGAAAGATGACGACTACGTCATCATTTTAGTCTGTAGTAAAGACAAACGACAGCGATTTGTGAATATTTTTAACGAAGTTTCAGATATGTTAGACAGAGACAAACAGAATTTTATTGTCTAAACAAACTGTATTGCTAATTTGTATGTATCCGACAAAGATAGACGATGTTTTCATGTTCTATGATCGATCATATTTGAAAGATGAATAGTTAGGTTATGTTAAAGCAGGTTAGGTTGTTTTCGAATAATACTTTGGTCTTTGGTGTTCCTGTCTTAAGGTATTCTACTCATAACTGTTTTTTTCAAAACAAAAACTCCCCACTAAAATTACTATTACGGTATCACTCAAAACCATGAAATAAAATGAAAATAAAAAAAATCAGTGAAATAACCTAACTTCGCAAAATCATAATACAAATTTTTTGTCATTATGTTCCTGACATCGTGATTTTATCATTGACGTACGTCCATTGATTACTTCAGTACAATTTATGGTACGACGTAATAGTCATCTTTCGTGATTTTGACTATACCAAGTTTATGTACTGCGTAAAAAGAGCGTCTATGGACCGTTATGACGAAATTAGGACAATGAACGAAACGCGACGGACTCTAACCTGCGAAAGGGTATAAATACGCCTAAAAGGTACATGCATTCTTTTTCACCCAGATAAAATTAAAAATGAGTTGAGTATAACCGCTGTAGCACCAGCAGTTGTGCCATTACCAAGCAACAAATAAATAAGAACTGTGGTTGTCATATTTGCATTCAACATACGAGGTATGTTAATTAAGTGATGAGACTGGCAACATAGCGTTCGGTCTGCCAACACTGGAGGCGCCGGGTATGGAGAGGAGGCATATCCACGTGATCCGTCTCCAGTACAAGTTTGAACTCGCTCGAGTCATTTGGATGTCCGTGGCGATTTTTTTGCGTTCTAAAAATGAGTGACATCAATTTTGAGCAACGGTGTGCTATCAGGTTTGGCTTCAGGCTTGGCCACAGTGCAACGGCAACTCTGGATAAACTTCAGCAGGCCTACGGAGATAGTGCTTTGTCAAGAGCCCAGGTTTCTCGGTGGTTTAAGGCATTTTCAGAAGGGAGAGAGAGATGAACCACGAAGCGGAAGGTTTTCATCTTCAAGAACCGATGATAACATCGACAGAATCCGGAATATTGTGCGTACAGACCACCGGTTGGCAGTCAGAATGATCGAGGAAAGATTAAATTTGACTCACACCAACGTTCATCAGATCAAGAACAACTGGGTGTTGCATCAGGATAATGATCTTTGTCATCACACAGCAATGTCAATAAACGAGTTTTTGGCCAGTAAAAACATTCCTGTGGCTCCTCAGTCTCCTCATTCGCCTGACTTGAGTCCTTGTGACGTTTTTCTCTACCCGAAATTGAAAAATCATCTCAAGGGAACATTCAAACGGCTGTAAACGACCAGCTGAAGGCTATCCCAGTATCACAGTTCCAGCCCTGCTATGGGGAGTGGAAGAACCGCACTTTGTGGCTTCAGAAGGAAGTTATTTTGAGGGTAACAACATAAAATTGTCATTATATTTGAATAAGTAAATAAAAAAAAACAGTCTCATCACTTAATTTACAGACCTCGTAAGCCAACAGAAACAACACATAAGTACCTGTTCCCATATTTGCATTCAAGATACACCAATTCAAACAAAGCGGAAGCTTAAATTGTTTTACTGCCCTATGGCATAAATGAGTCTGTAGGCTGAAATGTTAGACTTAACTCTCGCAAAACCTATTCTTAAGGTACATTTTACCGCTCCGGTAGTTAGCACATTTAACCCTTAACTGGTAACGTGCAAATTTGGAACACAACTGGTAACGTGCAGTCTGTGAGACTGGCACCTTTTCAAATCAAAAATAAATAAATGAACCTTATAATTTTTTACAAATATATATGAAGGTATGTTAGTTGCATATTCTCAGTAATAATTTTACATAAAATATCCGGGAAAATTAACGTGAAAAAAAAATTAAATAATAATTATCAACTTGAAAAAAAAATTGGTAGTGTAATTTCCAAGGGAGCATGATAATGGAAAAAATGATAAATGAAAGCAATGTTATATATTTTACTATTAATGATAAATGAAACAATACATCAATGAAACAAAACGTTAAGAAATTTTGCATTTCAAAGGTCCCAGCAGGTCCTAAATCTAAGGCTTATTCGCACAACTGTTGCATTTGGGATGTGAACACTGCAGGCATACTGGTTTCCTACACTCCAAGCACAGATATTTTGTCATTCGATGTGTGGTCTTACGACACAAATAACAGGGTTTTCGCTTTTGCAACATCAAATTTTCCTGTCTTTCGGGTAAATTTTCCGTTCTGTCGGCTAAATTTTCTTCTGGTCTGCCGAGGATACGTGATATGGTGTAGTGTAACTCGCGAGGCAAACGAGGATTCTGTAGTCGTCTTTCCATGTGTCCTTGGACAAGTTTGATAGCTAGTTCTTTCGCAAATACAGATTTGTCTTTCATAACTTTATTGTTTTTGTAACACTGATGTAAGATGTATGAATTCACTACCGAGACGTCAATAATACGGTAAAAAACAGCTAAAGGCCATCTACGTGTACGACGACTAGAACTACTTTTTGCACATTTCTCATCAAGAGAATCCACCCCTCCTTTGTTGGCATTATAGTATGCAATTATTTCAGGTTTCATTGTCTCTGGATCAGTAAAAGTCCTATCATGCATTGTGGAGATAAGTATGGTAGCCTTGTTTTTCTTTCCAACATGGGAAATTATAGTTGAGTCTTCACGAAAGCCGTACAGAGTTGATCCAAGTTCCCTTGCCGTGTTCGGTAAAAAACAAGGTGGAATTTCCTTTTTATTTTTTTTCAACGTTCCAACGTATGTGAGCTTCTTTTTCAGTAATATGTCTGTCAGCTCCACCGATGAAAACCAGTTGTCTCCCGTGACGTTGCGGTTGCTCCCAAATAAAGGCTGTGCAAGACGTAAAACGGCTTGAGTTGGCTTAGAATAATTCCTGAATTCAGGGTCAAGTCCAATCCCATCGGAATCTTTTCCTGCGTATATATACGCATTGTAAAGGTAGGCATTTCTAGCATCTGTTAAAGCCATTATTTTTATCCCATATTTGGAAGGCTTGTTTGGCATATACATTTTGAATCTAGCTCTGCCACGAAAGCTCACAAGCATTTCGTCAACGGTGGTCGACTGGCCAATTCCATAGACATTTTGGCTATTCTCTATGAAACTGTTGAAAATAAAAGAAATTGCTGCTACAGGGTCCTGGTTTTTCCTTTCGTTCCTGTCCTCTGGATTGTCAAACCTCACTGCAGACAGAAGTGTAGCAAATCGTTTTTCGCTCATCACTGCCCTGAAGATGTCTCTTCCACTTCCATCTGTCGCAAAAATAGTTTTGATATTCTCATGGTTTGAATTGAAAACAGATGTGAATATCAAAAGTCCAAGAAAAGCTCTCAACTCAATCTCGTCAACGTCTTTCAATGTGGTCGAATCCACTTTATACTTTGTTCGCATTGAACTTATTTTATGATTTGTCCATTTCACAATATGTTGTAACATTTCTTCGGTAAATAACAGTTGCCACACAGAAATAGGATCTGCTTCTTCTCCGAGCTGTCGAGCTTTTCCTTTGATAACAGGAACTTTCGTTACAATATTATGTTTCCTGGTACGAGATATTGGTCGAACTTCCGTTGTACACCATCTATGACGGTTTTTTCCAAATAAATACTTTCCCTCATCCACACTTTGTTGTTCTGTAACTTCGTCATTCTCGTCACTACTTTGAGATAACTCACTTCTACTATCATGATCGGAAATTTCAAATTCCTCGTCTGAGGTATTGTCCAAGTCACTAGATTCACTATATACTGCGTCATCTTCTTCATACCAACGCTGAAGAGTCTCCTCAAAATCCTTATCACCGTAACGTACACGTTTTGACGGGCCTGCCATGGCTACAAGTTGCAAGAAATTCTTACACAAACCGTAACGTGCCGTCTCACAGACTGCGCTGAAGTAACAATTACAACTGTCTCAAAGATGGTTTTCCCGAATTTACCACTGTTCATGCGGTAGACGGGGCACCAATAGGAGAACGATTAGATAAGGTCATTGACCGCAGCGCAGGTACAGTTTTGTTCCAACATTGAAAAAAAAATTGCTTGCAGTCTCACAGACGGCACGTTACCAGTTAAGGGTTAAGTAAAAATGTCGATATTTCCAAAACGTGACATTATTAAGCATATTTTCTCTTAATGATATATTATCTTTGTATTGAAATATTCACAGCTCATATAATTTTTTCCTGTCCTTGGACTGAAAAGTTGCTGTGATACGTATTTAAATTTTGGCAATAATATTCCTGATTTTTTAGTTGCCAAATATTCCTAACAAAATATGGATGCAAAAACAATCTTATTGGCGCTTGTATTATGATTGCCTTTATCTCATTATGTAACTATATTGAATTACGCATTTTTTGTGTGGAAAATTTTAGCATAAAAATCGTTTATAAAAAATCATGTAAACAATGAATGTTGTCTGTTATCTGGAGTAGACATGTAGCTTATTTTTTGGAATATTTATCTGAGTCACAACAATACAAATATTTTTGTTTGTTTATAACAGTATTTCCTTGTTTTCAGTTGTCTTAAATATGATCCAGAATTTTTCGAAAGTCACTGACAATATCAAATATTCGAGACGTAAATAATTTATGTACCAGAAGCAGCCGTTTTATACAATGTTTGAATTTATGTGGAAGGAATAACTAGAGATTTCATAGCGTAAGCTGAAAACGGATAGCCCTAAGAAAAAATTCACGCCTAGGTCAT